ACAACATGTAAACCAACAGGCGTAGCTGCGCTCCAATGAAACCTTATCCAAACAGCAGCTCAGGTTTGGCCCACAGGCCATGGTCTGCCAACCCTGCTGGAGAGGGGTGTGGAGGGGATGGTGGGGGCCTGGCTCATGGTGAGAAATTCCTGACAAGGAAAACACAGGCCTCAACCCAGGCTCCCCTTCTGGCCCTGCTATCTGCCTCTTCAGGGTCTGGGTGAGGGGAGGTTGTGTATGGATATGTGTGTGTGGGGGGGGGGAGGGAGAGTCCTGTAATCATATAGTTCCAAGCTCAATTCTTGACTCTCTCTAGCTGTCTGACCTCTCTAAGCCCCTATTTACTCATCTGTAAAATGGGAGTAACATTTTCCTCACAAAGGTTGCTGTGAGCTGTCAATGTGTGACCTAAGTAAAGGCCCTAGCATAGGATGGGGCATACAGTAGGTGATCAATAAATGCTTGTTCCCTCTTCCCACCCTCCCTTAGCAAATATGGGGCTCATACTGCAATAGCTGCCAACCCAAAGGTGCACTCCCAGGGTCAGAATTCTGCATCTTTACATCCAAGGCTTCCTGATGCCCCAGACCTGACCATGAGCATCGACCTGAGAGAAGCCTTTCTCCAAGGTGAACCCCCAGCTGGAGGCCTGGTGCCAAAGTGAGCTCTACACGGTCACCCAAGGAGGGTGGTTGGGCCAGAGCCTCGGACCTGCCCTGCCCCGGTTTTGCATCGTTTTAAGCAGAAGAGTTTCATGATCTGATCTGGCATTTAACATTATGGCTTCTGGGGGGTGGGGGGTAGGGGTGGGGGGAGGGGGACCAATTGTAGGGGAGACAGAACCAGCCACTCTCACCCGCTTTCCCTGTCTTCGATGTTCATATATCGGGCCACCGCTTCCGGTCAAGCGCCTGTCATAGCCCGCTCCCTTCTCTCCTTGGCCCCGTCCACTGCAGGACTAATAGGTGGGGACAAACGCGGCGCACTCAGCCCCCAGAGGCGAGGCCAGCACTGGGCACCCGAGTTCCCTGGCTCCGCCCCTCGTGCCGAGGCCCTGCCCCTTGAACCGTAGAAGGTGCCCCGCCTCTGTCTGGAAACCACGCCCCTGCGCTCTAGGCCACGCCCACACACTTGGCCGGCAAGTGGCGCTGGCGTCCTGCTCAACCCACCACCGGCTCCGCCCTTCCCCTTGAGGCCCCGCCCCCTTAAGGTCTCGGCCCGTCCATTGGTGGCTTGCAGGAGGAGCCAGCCTTGGTCTTTGCTGGCCCCGCCCTCTGAGGCCCCGCCCACCGAGGCCCCGCCCCGTCCGTTGAGCGGCCGGCAGGAGGCGCCGCTCGGCTCGGGCTGCCGCGGGTACAGCGGGTGTTGGAGCCACGCGGAGGCGGCCTTATCGCTGGAGGTGAGTGCGGCCACGCGCGAGGAAGAAGCGGCAGGGTGCTTCCGCTCCTCTGGGGGGGGGAGCGCCCCGGGGGCGCAGAAGACCGAGCCGGGAGAGCCCGGGACGCGCGCTTCTGGCAACAAGAGGCCCCCACGGGGGCATCTCCCCGGGCTTTTTTAAACCGGGCTTTTCCCTTTTTCCATGGCAACCGGGGGGTCTTGGCGCCCCCCTGCTGCCTTGGGGGGTCTGGCTCCTGAAGGCTGGCCACTGGGGTGAGGGCGGCCCTGCCTCGGGGTTCCAGGGGGTCGGCTCTGGCCACAGCCCCCTGCAACTCCTGGACCTTGTCCCTCCAACCCGGAGGACACCCCCCTCCCGGGCTTAGGGGAGTTTGGCGCCGCGGGGAGCAGGGCTCCAGGGTCTGCGTGACATCCCCCCAACCCGCCCGTCCTGGCTTTCCTGTTCACCCAGCGGCCCTTCCCCGTGATGGGCCGGCTGATAGCCCTGCCTCCGGCTATTTCTGGGCCATTTCCAGCCCCTCGACCAACACCGCACCTAACAAAACCCCTGCCGGCCTGGACCGCGGGTGGCCCTGGGGGAGCTGCAGACCCGCAGGCTCACGCCCAGCACCCTGTCAAGTGTCTGGCTAATCTGAATTGCCGAAAAGAATTTTCCAAGTCGCTGGTGATTACAGGTGTCTCCGGCCAGCACGGCCACCTCTTGTGCATTCCAGAGAGGAGCCAGCCCTGAGTCCCACTGGCGGAAACAGTCAGTCCCCTGGCAAGAGGCTAGCCTGTCACAATTAAATCTGATTAAATTATTCTGTATTGGAAAGCGTCGCTCGGGCTGGCGCTGTCGGGGTAGGGTTTGTGGACGGAGGGGATGAAGCAGAGCCTGCAGTCTGCCTCTTCCTGTCCCGTCCGGGAAACGCTAATGGATTCCACATTGCGGGCCGGGCCAGCGTGTCCTCCACCCATGTCGTCAGCCTCGCACTGACCTCGCTCGCGGCACCCGCTGGGGTGACTGGAGCTTGTTTTCATCAGAACTTGGACTCTTCCCTGCGGACGAGACAAAAACCTTCTCTAGGAGAAGCGGCGTCCTACACCCTCCGGCCGCGTCCGAGTATCAGTGTGACAGACCAGAGGCCGAGGCCGGAGCAGAAAAGGGAAAGGCAGGTGGAGCCTCCCAGCCGGACCCGGCGCCTCTGTGGGATGTTCCTGCCTCTCGTCCTCGGAAAGAGTCCACCCATCTTGACCAACAGGCTGCGCTCGGCCTGCGGGGGTTGGGAAGGAAGGTGGCAAGGGAACAAGTGACCGTCCGTCCGTGGCTGCTCTGCAAACGGCCACAGAGCGAGCAAAGCTTCCTGATAAAACAGACCAGCGCCCGTGTGCCCTGGGCCTGCGTGGGCCTCAGAAGGAGCTGGCAGAGAGGCGCGAGCCACAGTCTCCATTCGCCTGGAAACTGCTGGAAGGAGGGAGGGCGCTCGCTCCTGAGGCCCTGGGAGTGGACGAGCAGGCGTGTATCTGTAATTTTTAATTTTTTTTATGAAAACAGAATTGCATTAGCTTTAGATGTTACAGAACCTAGACCACCCCAGCGCAACTCATGTCCTCGCTGGTGTTCTCAATGGTTAGAGCGTTGGCCCTCGGACTGAAGGGTCTCGGGTTCGGTTCCCGGCCCCCGCTGGGGTGTGTGGGAGGCGGCCGATCGGTGTGTGTCTCTCATATTGAATTTCTCTGCCCCTCTCCCCCCTCATCTACCCCTGCCTTCCACTCTCTCTGGAAATCTATGGAGAAAATGTCAAAACAAAAAAATGGCAGTCCACTCCTCCGCTGTACCTGGGCCTCTTAGGCTCCTGGGTTTACTTCACGGCTCTTCCGTGAGGGGCTGTTGCTGCTTTAGCTGCGGTTTCTGCGTTTTCGGCATCGCATTCACAACCACACACATCTCGAGGCTGAGGCTTCTGGCCACAAGCCACCACGGGGTGTGGTTGGACCCTGGGGCTCTGCCTGGAGGCGGCGGCCGGGGAGGGGAGTGTTTGTGGAAGGTCAGGCCCTCTGAGGGGGGTGTCCGAGCGCGGCTGGCAGTGTGGGAAGCAGGCTCGTGCCTGTGATGCGGGGGCAAAGCCGGGCACGTGCCCTGCGTGTGCTCTGCGATGCTCTGCTGTAAGTTCACGCCAAGCCTTTGGCAGGCGCCCGGGCGCTGAGGGGATCCATGGCCAGCGCGGGCTCCCTGGGGTCTGACGGGACCTGTCACACGCTCCTCGCTCCTCGGGGGAGAAGTAAAGCCTCAGGCATCCTCACTCCCGTGCAGCCTCCGCACGTGAGGCCAGAGAGAGCCCTGTGCGCGCGTCCGCGAGACACCTGGGCAAGCGCTGCCTGTGAGTGTGAGCAGCAGGACGCAGGGCAAGGGGTGCCCCCCCCAGCCTCTCCCACCACCCGTGGAGCCAGGAGGGAGCGGGGACTGGGGGTGTTGGCTTCCACTGAGTTTAGTGCTTGACATTTGTCACAGGTGCCCAGTGCCGCCAGGTCCTTACTGGGACCTGGACACTGTTTCTAGAAGCTTCTAGAAAATGAGCTTTTCTTCTCTGGCCTGCCTGCTCTCGTCTCTGGTGAGGGCACGGGCACTGAAGTGGGCGCCGTCCTCGCTCATGTGGTGTCGAGCTTCGTGTTTGTGCTGTGGAGATGCCCGCTCTGCCACGCCTCCTGCTCCGCCAGGGCCAGGCGAGCCCGTGCACTCTTAGAACCAGCCTGGGAGCACTGGGTGCACTGGGATGGCGACTGGGAGCACTGGGTGCACTGGGATGACGGCTGGGAGCACTGAGAGCACTGGGATGACGGCTGGGAGCACTGGGAGCACTGGGATGACGGCTGGGAGCACTAAGTGCACTGTGATGATGGCTGGGAGCACTGAGTGCACTGGGATGATGGCTGGGAGCACTGGGTGCACTGGGATGATGCTGGGAGCTCTGGGTGCACTGGGATGACGGCTGGGAGCACGGGGAGCACTGGGATGACGGCTGGGAGCACTGGGTGCACTGGGATGACGGCTGACTGACACATCAGAGCTCCCAGGAGTGTGCACTGACCCCTCCAAGAGCAGCTGTGGCCTGACCGCAGCCCGAGTGCCAGGCTGGACGCAGTGGGAGGACTGCATACATTCCCGTCGTGCCTCCGGGTCTGGGAGAGCCCTTTTGTGTCGCTGCGGTCACATGGACATCCCAGTGCTGCCGTCCAGGGCCGCACTCCTCCCAGCCGGGCCGTCACTGCCGCTCTCCCCGCCCGCCCCGTCCGGGCTGTGGTGTGGGAGATGGAGGCCAGCGTTTCCCACTCCCGCCCTTTACACCTTCTCTGTGGGGCCATGTGGTGGGCGGGGGCCGCCTCGGGAGATAGGCCACGGCCCTCACACACGGCCACGGCCACGGCCGGCTGTGTCCCGGCTGCCCCCGGTGTGCGGGAGCCCAGCACTTGCCGGGTGTCGGGCCCAGGCAGCAGGGCGTAGCCTCCTTTCCGTGCGGGTCGTGCCTCCTAGCGGGCCTTCCCTGCGGGCTCCTCAGTGCTCCCCCACCTGCTCCCCCAGGTTGCCGCTGCGGGGACGGGGCTCCCGGGCGTGTCTGCGGCTGTGCTGGGCGTGGGCCCAGGGGGCTGTCATGTCTGTTCAGTTCACGGGGCCTCGCGTGCTTTCGCTGCCCCGACGGTCGATGCTGACCCACCCTGTCTCCTCCAGGACGCGGCCGCCTCCCCAGCTGTGAGCCGCAGCCTCGCCCGTGAAGACGGGCCCACCATGTTCTATGGGACCCACTTCATCATGTCTCCGCCCGCCAAGAGCAAGCTGAAGCGGCAGGGCCAGCTGCTGTCCAGCGTGCTGTCCCGCACGCTGAGCTACAAGTACCGCGACCTGGACGCCACCTTCGCCGACCTGGGTGCCAGCGACGACCCGGCGGAGCTCTCCACTCGGCTCTCAGCCCCCGGGGTCCTCAAGGTGTTCGGGGACAGCGTGTGCACGGGCGCCCACTACAAGAGCGTGCTGGCCACCTGCCGGTCCAGCGCCCAGGAGCTGGTGCGGGAGGCCCTGGAGCGCTACTCCCTGAGCCCCGACGGCGCCGGCCAGTACGTGCTGTGCGACGTGGTGGGCCAGGCCGGCGACTCGGAGCGGCCGTGGCAGGCGGAATGCGTCCGGGTGTTCGGGGACAACGAGAAGCCCCTCCTGATCCAGGAGCTGTGGAAGCCCCGAGAAGGCTTGTCCCGGAGGTTTGAGCTGAGGAGGAGGGCAGACGTGGAAGAGCTGGCGGCCAAGGACGTTGACACTGTGACGGCAGGTGAGCAGCTCCGGGAGGAGACTCGCCGGCGGGGCTGGTCAGGGCAGGTGGAGGCCGAGGGGCGGCAGACCACAGCTCGCCTGTGCGCAGGGCCTGCGGTGGGCTGTGTGGCTGCAGTGTAGGCCCCAGTGTCGTCTGTGGTGTTGTCTACGGTGTCGTCTGCGGTGTCGTCTGTGGGGTCGGCTGCAGGGTCGGCTGCGGTGTAGGCTGCGGGGTTGGCTGCAGTGTCGGCTGCGGGGTTGGCCGCAGGGTCGGCTGCAGTGTAGGCTGCGGGGTCGGCCGCGGGGTCGGCTGCAGTGTAGGCCACGGGGTCGTCTGTGGTGTTGTCTGCGGTGTCGGCTGCAGTGTCGGCTGCGGTGTCGGCTGTGGGGTCTGCTGCGGTGAGTCTGCAGTGTAGGTGAGCGGCCTATAGGCCATGGTGTCGGCTGCAGTGTAGGCCGAGGTGTAGGCCGCGGGGTCGTCTGTGGTGTTGTCTGCAGTGTTGGCTGCGGGGTCGGCCGCGGGGTCGGCTGCGGTGAGTCTGTGGTGTAGGTGAGCGGCCTATAGGCCACGGTGTCAGCTGCAGTGCTGTCTGTGGGGTCGTCTGCAGTGTCGGCTGCGGTGTAGGCCGCGGGGTTGTCTGTGGTGTTGTCTGCGGTGTCGGCTGCGGTGTAGGCCGCGGTGTAGGTGAGTGGCCTGTAGGCCACGGTGTCGGCTGCGGTGTAGGCCACGGTGTCGGCTGCGGTGTAGGCCGAGGTGTAGGTGAGCGGCCTGTAGGCAGACCCTCCTGGGTGAGGTGAGTTGTCCCCTCTGGCTGTCCCGTCATTGCTGCAGACACCGTGTCCAGAGCCACCGGTGTGGTTACAGGAAGTCCTGTGCCCAAGGCCTAGTGACTCTTAGGGGCAACCCAATGAGACGACGAGGGGCTGCGGTGTGTTTGGGTGTGGGGGGTCTGTGGGTGCAGGCAGGGGCCCGTGCTGGAGGAGGCCCAGCCCAGAGGCAGTGGGCCCCTGTCCCCCTGAGGTGCGCAGACAGCGGCAGCTCTGAGCCCGGCCCCGTGGCGGGAGGGCTTGGTGACCCGTGGCCGCTGCTCCGCGTCTGGCTGCTGTTCAGTTGGTGGAAAGAACTGATATCTTATCTTAATAGGCAAGTGAAACAAAAAATCACCTTTCAAATATCAAGACTCTTAAATGTGTCTCAGGTCACCGTTGGCTTTTTCTTAGTGTCCCGTAGAAACGGTGGCTTTGCATGAGCACGTGGACTTGGCTTGTGTGGCCGTCAAGTGGCCTCAGACCTCAATCTTGTCTTCTCCGGGTGGAGGGCCTTTGAGCCGTTGCTGCGCTCGCCCTGAGACGTGCGTCTGCGAGGCGTTGGGAACGCTCCTTCCTCTGGCTTCGCCCGGGCGAACGTGGAGCCAGTGCACTTTGGTGTGTGCAGCCGGTGGTGTGGGGGCTCCAGGGGCTGGTGTCCCTCGGGCCGGGCTGGACTGCTGTGTCACACAGCGACAGCGGTGCCCGGTGCGGCGGCCCTCTGTCACCTTGGGCAAATGGCTTCGCCTCTTTGGGCCTCAGTTTTCTGATCTGGAGAATGGGTTCTGAAGTGATGTGCGTACAGCCCTTAGCACAGCCTCGGGAAGTCCCTGTTGTGTGGTGTCGTCGCTATATTAACACTTCCTGCACGTGTGAGCGGGGTGCTCCGTGCTCACAGGCCGGGGTGCCCAGACAAGGTGGGGTGGGGCCTCGAACAGGGCGCAGGCTTTTACCACTGATGTGCAGGGTTCTGCATATGGGGTCGAAAAAAGCAGGCCACGTGGAGGATGTTATAGTTGCTTTAAGTATTGTCTCAGACCAGCCCCTGATGGCCACACCCCATGGGCCCCTGTGCTGGGTTTGCTGTTTTGTCCTGACCCCCCTCCTTTAGAAGACGTCCCAGGAGGCCAGGCTGGGGTGTGGGGGTGGGGCCGGGGTTCAGCTTGAGGCCGCGGTCCCGCCGGTATTTTCTCCACTGCGGCCAGCCCTGCCTGTCCTGAAGGTCACAGCCCCAGGTCCCGGGATCGGCGTGGGAAAGCCTGCTCAGTGTCACATGGCTGGTTCCTGGCGGGGCCCTGGGGATGGACAGCACCCAAGGGTGGGCCTGGGTCTTCGCGCACTGCCCCTCAGGCCCGTTCCTTTCACAGCAGCCGAGGCAAGACAAGGCCGCTGCTCACAGCCTATTCAACTTGGTGGTGGTTTTGCAAAACCTTTCAGATAAAGAGTCCATTGAGCCGGCCGGTCTCGCTGACACACTTCTCTGGCGGAAGCGGGTTGTGTTACCTGCCCGGTGCCGGCCTCCCAGACCCCAGGGAGGTGGCCTTCCTTCCTGGCCTTCCCCTCGGGGTGTGGTCTGGGCAGTCAGTGCCTCCTGACCTTGCCACCCCCCTTGCCGGTGACAGTAAAGACAGCGTGGGATGGGGACGGCGCCCCAGGGCAGGCACACTCGCCTCTGTCCTTAGAGAGATGGGAGGGCCAGTCAGGGGCGGCGGCCCGGACAGACCCACGTGGTCGGAGCCCTGCTCCAAAGCTTGACCAGGGTCCAGACCTTTGAGTGAGCGCCTTCGTTTGGTTATTCCCATGATGCATGGATACGTGGACACAGGCCTGTGTGCACTCACACGTGTGCACTGTGGCATGTACACTCTGAACGGCTCCCTGTGCAGCGGACGTGCTGCAGCTTCTGCGGCCTCGCAGGTGCCGCCGGCAGCCCTTCACCGCCCTGTGAGGTCTGCTCACCATCCTCTGGCCCCGAGGGAGCGAGCCGTGGTCCAGCCCCTTCCCGAGCCCGCTCGGTGGCAGATGAGTGGCCCAGGGCCCCCCTGCCATCCTCACCAGCAGTGGGAACCACAGAGAGACTCAAAGTCACTGTGAAGTGGGCCCTGGCGGGCAGCTCAGCTGGTTAGAGCATCGCCCCTACACCAAGGTTATGGGTTCGATCCCCGGTCAGGGAACATACAGGAATCGATCAGTGAATGCACAGATAAGTGGGACAACAAGTCAATGTGTGTCTGTCTGTCCCTGTCTCTCTTCCCCCTTCCTCTCTAAAATCAACAAAACAAAAAACCCAAAGTGGAGGTGAGGCGTGAAAGGGTGTCGGCCCAGGGCTGGTAACTGGGTTAAGTTTGATGAGGAAGGATCTGGGCTCATCCGTCTGCCCTGGGAGGGGCCCTTGTCCAGCTTCTACCACCTGCGGTCGTGTTCCCCCGTGAGCAGTGGAGGAAGGGAAGGGACTGCCTGTGTGTGTGTGTGTGTGCGCGTGCGTGTCTGCGTGTTCGTGTGTGTGTGAGTTCACCGGCCTTCCCAGGCGTCAGGTCCCTGTCACAGTGATTCCTGGTTCCAGCCGCTGCCCCACATGAGGGCCACACTGGGGCTCACTGGTTGCACTGGTCTCAGCGTCGGCCTTTAGCCAAAGCCCAGGGCGCACCTCTGAGCAGCGGCTGTGTGTGTGTGTGTGGGGGGGGGGGGTGGAGGAGCCGGGGGAGCCCCCTGCGTCCCGTCTCCTGCGCATGGACTGGTTCCCCAGGAAGTCCCGTGGGAAAACGGGGGTGCCGGTCGAGGAGGGGGGAGCAGAATCCAGCCGCCCCCCCCTCGGTGCCGCATTCAGGCAGGCGCGGTGGTACTTGCTTCCCTTCAACTGCCTTTCACAGGCGCGCTCGCGGTCTCCAGATCATCCCCGCGTGTGTCAGTCTGGGGGCGCCGGCGTGTGTGTGTGTGTGTGTGTGTGTGTGTGTGTGTGTGTGTGTTGGGCGGGGGAGGGCTGGGCGTCCCTGCGATAAGCCGTCAGCCCTGGGGGTGCCGCCATGGGGCCATGTGGTTTCCGCCCGCGGCCGGGCGGGGCGAGGCTGTGTTTGTTTCCAGGGCGGGAGCGGATTTCCACGCGTTCCAGCCGCGGCCCCACGGGCAGTTTGGCGATAGCTCTTGGCCGCGGGGGCCGCGCCAGGCCATGGGGGACGGTAGCAGCACCCCCGCCTCTCCCCTTCGCCGGCTGCACCCCTACCCGCTGGGCATCCCCAGTGGCTGTGGGCAGTGCCCGGGGGCGCCAGGCCCTGGACCGGGAGCCGCGGGTTGGGGTGAGCTCAGGGTCACCCTCCCCCGCGGCGCTCCCGGGGTGCCGCGAACTAGTGTCCCGGAAGGGGGACGCTGCATGCGGCTTACTTGGGCCTCAGAGGCGGAGGAACTAGGTCTGAGGTGTAAGAAATGGCGAGAAGGCAGTGGATGGTAGGTCAGAGCAAACGTAAAAAACAGTAAAAAAGCCAAAAACCGAGGCTCATCCCTCCCCCCCCGCCCCCAAGCCTGAAGCCCGGGTTCCACGCCGGCCCCCTGGAAACTACAACTCCCGTGAGGCTCTGCGCGGCACGCATGCGCCCTGCATCCGCGGGCGTGTGGCAGTTCTAGAACGGCGCGGCGGGTGGAGGGCCCGGGCGCCATGTTGGGGCCCAGGGGACAGCGGAGAGACGCTTGAAGCGGCGGGAGCGGAGCGGGAGCGGGTCAGACCCGGGCTGGTAGGAGCCCCGCCCCTCCCGCCTCAGCGGATCATGACCCGGGCAGCGGCCACGGAGGTCGCGGTGGCGGGGAACGTGGCGTGGCCGGGCCAGCGCTAGAGAAGATGCCGTTTCCGGCGACAACCCCGGGATCACAGCAGACCCCGCTGCCACCCAAGTTTTATGGCATCTCCTCCCCCATCAGCTTAGCCGCCCCCAAGGAGACAGACTGCGTACTGACCCAGAAATTAATTGAAACCCTGAAGCCCTTTGGGGTTTTGGAAGAGGAAGAGGAACTGCAGCGCAGGATTTTAATTTTGGAAAAATTAAATAATCTGGTAAAGGAATGGATACGAGAGATCAGTGAAAGCAAAAGTCTCCCACCCGCTGTGATTGAGAACGTCGGTGGCAAAATCTTTACGTTCGGCTCCTACCGGCTAGGGGTGCACACCAAGGGCGCCGACATCGACGCGCTGTGCGTCGCGCCGAGGCACGTGGACCGCAGCGACTTCTTCACTTCCTTCTACGCCAAGTTGAAACTACACGAGGAAGTCAAGGACTTAAGGGCAGTGGAGGAGGCGTTTGTCCCCGTTATCCGACTGTGTTTTGATGGGATAGAGATTGATATTTTGTTTGCAAGATTAGCACTGCAGACTATTCCAGAAGACTTGGACCTAAGAGATGACAGTCTGCTTAAAAATTTAGATATTAGATGCATAAGAAGCCTTAATGGTTGCCGGGTAACCGATGAAATCTTACATCTAGTACCGAACATTGACAACTTCCGGTTAACTCTCAGAGCTATCAAGCTGTGGGCCAAATGCCACAACATCTACTCCAATATATTAGGGTTCCTGGGAGGCGTTTCCTGGGCCATGCTCGTAGCAAGAACCTGCCAGCTGTATCCAAACGCAGTGGCATCAACTCTTGTACGTAAATTTTTCTTAGTGTTTTCTGAATGGGAGTGGCCAAATCCAGTGCTACTGAAAGAGCCTGAAGAACAAAACCTTAATCTGCCCGTATGGGACCCAAGAGTAAACCCCAGTGACAGGTACCACCTGATGCCTATCATCACACCGGCATACCCACAGCAGAACTCCACCTACAACGTGTCTGTGTCCACAAGGATGGTCATGATCGAGGAGTTTAAACAAGGCCTTGCTATCACACATGAGATCTTGCTGAGTAAGGCAGAGTGGTCCAAACTGTTTGAAGCTCCAAGCTTCTTTCAAAAGTATAAGCATTATATTGTACTTCTAGCAAGTGCACCAACAGAAAAGCAGCGTCTAGAATGGGTGGGCTTGGTGGAATCAAAAATCCGCATCCTGGTGGGCAGCTTGGAGAAGAATGAATTCATTACACTGGCTCATGTGAATCCTCAGTCATTTCCAGCACCCAAAGAAAATCCTGACAAGGAAGAATTTTGCACAATGTGGGTGATTGGGTTAGTATTAAAAAAGCCAGAAAATTCTGAAGTTCTCAGTATCGATCTCACCTATGATATCCAGTCTTTCACAGACACAGTTTATAGGCAAGCAATAAATAGTAAGATGTTTGAGATGGATATGAAAATCGATGCAATGCATTTAAGAAGAAAGGAGCTCCACCAGCTACTACCTAATCACGTGCTTCAGAAAAATAAAACACATTCAATGGAAGATGTCAGATTGACAGCTTTGAATGACAGCAGTCTTGACTCGTCTGCCGACAGTGAAAACAGCGTGTCTGTGCCTTCACCTGCAAGCACTGTGAAGACTGGCCCAGTGACTGGCTCCTCTCAGGGCAGAAACAGTCCTGCTCTGGCTGTAATGGCGGCGTCTGCGACCAGCGTACAGGTTACTGAAGTTACCTTGCAGCAAGGGAACCCCGGTGAGAGCCCGGGGGGTGCAAGCGAAAGCGTTCCTCAGACTGCCTCACAGGCAGCCGTTTCTCCACCTCCAAAGCCCACAATCACTAGACTTGTTTCTTCAACACTTCTGGTAAACCATGCCCCCAGGCCTGCAGGGGCCGCAGCCACAAACATAGCTAACCCTATAGTAGGCGTCTAGAGGACTGTCTCACCTCACACAGACGGGGGACCGAGGAAGCTAAGGTAGAAGAGGAGCGATCTTGTGAAGAGACAGCACAACTCCATGAGGAGTCTGCAAACAGCAGCTTCTCTGTTGGCCACAGGAAACATCCAATAGAAACCTTTCCAATGTCCCTGCTCTCCCTGCAAATCCTATTCCTGTTAGCAAGACTTCAATAAAACAGATTGAACTGATAAACACAACATCAAGCTTCCATAAATAATATCTGCCAACTCGATCTGTTGTCTTCAAATGCTAAAGGAGGAGAATGAAGGGTGCCAAACTAGATCAGACTCCAAAGAGATTTAGGCTGACTTGGTAACTCCCTTTGCTGGGCTAATCTTGATCAGAAGTCCAGGTTAGTACATGAAGCTAGAAGTGCTGCTATTATTGTGTAGATTATTAATGTCTCAGCAACAGTTATATTAACTATGTCAAAGGACTACTTCCCTTAAAGAGAAAATGGGAAAAAACCTCCAGCTATCTTTGTACCCGTGACTGACATCTGGACTGCATTTATGTTTGATGCATTGTTGAGGGAAATTTGCCATACAAATTGGTATCAGATATCCTTATATTGCTGATGCACTTTATGTGTATGATTAGAAATGAGCACTAATTTCAGAGGTTTCAGCTTGATGAATTTTAGTTTTTTCCTGAAGCATTTTCATTATTACGCTCCAAATTGGATACCACTGTGCAGTGTACTGTACTTCAGACAAAGCAGGAAAGTTAATCTAGCGAAGTTCCTGGGAGGTAGCTGTAGCCCTTTACAATGAAATGGTAGCTCTTACGGTATATATTTGACATCAAAACAGTAGTTAGTAATTCTTTGGTTTTGATGGGACATGGTCAAGAAGTGACATTGTTTTTTTCTGTAGGATTGTTTTATAACGCACACAATCAGCGATCAAACAGCAAACAGTGTCTTGGAGCTAACAGCTCCATGTTCTGTTGTCCTTAATCATCTGTCTTACAACAAGATAGCCTTGTGTCTCCCCACTGCTTTGCTTGTATGCACACGGTATGCTTGTATGTTGTTTCACAAAAAAACCCAGAATGCTAGTATTTTCTTAACCATGATATGAAATCAAGTCTTGTGGCCACATGGCACAAAACATGAAATTTTGGTTCCAGGGCTAATATTTTAGTAAAACTTGACTGAAAGTAATGCCCGTGAAATATTAGTCTCGGATGGCCACTTGATCTCTACACATGAGAAATTCTGTGAACTTCACAGAATACCTATTTATGGGGCATTCATGTCCAACTTAAACAGGTAAGCAGAAAGATCTTTTCTCTAAGAATTTTATGCCAATTTTTGTTTACTAAAATCCATCAGTAAATTTTACATCTAAAAAATAATAATTTCTAGCAAGGACTTGACATATAGTTGGCTTTCCACTCTTTTATTTTATCCTACAAACTATTAGGAACACTTTTCTTTTAAAGAAAACACCACTCATGATTATGCAGAACATCCATGTTCAGGAAACGTGAATGACAACAGACATAGATGAATGACAGCTGTCGTAACCTGGACACAGCACCCTGCCAGGTTCTCCATTCGTCCAGTTCTGTCTCCTCCCCTCTCACCTGCGTCCCTCTACCACCTGTGCAGTTTCCACATTAAACTGCAGTTCCTTAAACCCTTTCTCTATCCTTCTGGGTTAATTTTTCCACAGTTGAACTACAGTTTCCTTCCTTTTGGCTGTGCAGTAATTGAGCCCTTTCCAGCACACAGTGGGCCATTTCACAGCTTAGCCTGTGCGGTCACCGGCCTCCTGCTGCCGTCATGAGTCACGCGTGCCCGGTGCCCAGTGTTTGCAGTAGCTGTGGCATCGGGTGGAAATTGCCAGGCACTCATTTAGTCCTGTCTTTGTGTTTACACATTGTTTTACTAAGCCGGGAACTTTTAAATTCTAGTTTCATTACCTGAATATCAGACTATTTTTCTCATATGATGTATGTAGTGTCTCATGACTGGAGTTTGCTTTGTCCTATAGCACCTGTACTTGTATTGTTTCAAGCACTATTTTGAAAACAGATGATGTATTTCTCCACTGAAAACACAATAAAAATAAACAGCAAAGAAGTTAGTAAAGGGGTCCAAACCTGGCATTACCAGTGCGGATGTTCTTACATTGCTCGGAGCAGGGTGAAGCCACTGAGGAACGTTCTGACTTTATGAAATCTAGAATTCATGTGATACTATTAGGGGAAATTACGAAAAGGCCGAAACTTCAAATCCGTAAAGGTAAAAATTGGAGTTTAAAAGTCTTAATCCAAAAGAAGGCAGGAAAGAAAGGGGGGGGGCACATAAAAATAATATAAAAAGAATACAATCTAAGGTGGTGGAAATGAAACCAAATATCTGTCACTGTGTGTAATAAATGGAGCAAACTTCCTGACTAAAAGAGATGGTCAGATTCCATGGAAAAACAAAGCCAGCTGCGTGCTGTTTTTCTTTCTTTTTATTTTATTATTTTTTTCTTTTTTTTTTTATATGAGAGACACACCCAAAATGTAAGACATAAGAGAATGGAAAGGAGAAATACTGATGAAAATAAGCTGCTATGTAACAATATCATCCAAACAGATTTCAAAGCAAAAAAAATGACTAGGGACAAAAGGACCAGAGCATTAATGATAGAAGAAAACACACCAGGAAAATGGAGTGATTTAACACCGGTCTGCACTCATCAGCCTCAACATAAGGTAACAAAGATAAATAGAAATTGTCAGCGCCATAGAGGATTTTAAAACAACGCTTTCATTAATGGCATCAAAATGACAAAAAGGGAAACGGTTTGGAGCCCGACTGGCAAACCTTTTCTGTAGCGCTCGGCCGGAGAGTGAGTACTTTGTGCTTTGTGAGGCCACTCGGTCTCTGTCTCAACTACTTGCCTGCCGCTGTGGGGTGAAGGCAGCCCTGGACAGTATGTAGACAGGCGGCCAGGCTGGGGTTCTCCCTGCTCCTGGCTGGAGTTTGTCACCCCTTACCTAGTGGACATTTATGGTAGCGCCCGCCACCCAACATTTGGAAGTGCATATTATTCTCAAACTAGGGGTCCAGTGCATGAATTCATGCACCTTGGAAGGAACTGTGGGCCGCGAGGCTGCGGTGGGCACAGGGACGGGCCTCAGCCCATCCTCTGTGCCCCTGTCTGGCCCCTCCGGCTACGGTCCCCAGTCCCCTTTCTGCTGGCAGCCCACTTCCACCGCCGCTGCCACTCCCATGCGCTGGCAGCACCGGCCCTGCTTGCACCCGCTGGCGGCGTGGAGCAACTGGGGCTGCCGTCAGCAGTGGGTGTGAGTGGGGCCGGTGCCGAGCGATCAGGACTGGCGCCGGGCGCCAGCAGCAGGTGTGAGCACCGGGTGGGACTGCGGTGCGCGGGAGCAAAGAATTTTCAGTAACCACCGGAGGCTTGCCCGATGGCAGTGACCGGTGCCCCGCCTTGGTCTGGTGCCCCCGCTTACCTGCCCCACCATCCCACCACGGCCGACGCCTGCCATGTTCTGCGCGCACCCCCTGATGGTCAGCGCACGTCATAGCGACCGGTTGTTCGGTTGTTCCGCCGTTGGTCTATTTGCATATTAGGGTTTTATATATATAGATAAGCATTGGGCATGTGCAAAAATTAACCCTGTGCTAGATCAGAAAGTAGGACAACATCTTTCAAAGTATCAGCTTCACAAAACATGTTCTGTGATTCCAGGAGACACAACAAAGCTCCCACCATGAAGAAAGAGGCTGAGGGACAGAGTCCCTTCATTGTATCAAATAATGAACAAAAAAGACGCTCAGCCACATTAGTAGTAAGGAAACTACAAACTAAGATGCAGAGATATTTCTTAAAGTTCAGTGGTCAGCGTGGCGAGGCTGAGGAGCGGTGGGGACGCTGACACAGCGATGACGAGGGTGCGCGTCGCTTTGATCCCTTTGGGAGATGGTTGGGTCTTGTCTGGTGCCGTTGACATGCCCACTCCCTGTGTTCCATCTATTCTGTGAGCAGGTCTCTGTCCCCAGGCTGTGGGCACTGATGGTCCCTTTCTCCCTCGAGGTGGCCTGAGTGTGTGGGTCACCTCGGTAGCCCTGTCCGGAACTCTGCACACCCTGCAGTGTGCCGTGTGAATATCACAGTTCTCCCTCTATGTCACGGGGTCAGAATAGTTGGGGAGACCGCTGCCCGAGTCACCAGGAGAGTCTGTAGCGTGTTCTGTAACAGTTAAAGCTGAAGTACCCACAGGTGCACACGTGGGCTGACACACAGGGTGTGGCATGCAGTAGACAATGGAAAGCAGCGAGATTCAATGGACCGTAGTTAATGATCGACGTGGAGTCAGCTCATAATGTGGAGGG